TTGAACTATATTTATTATTGATCATGTTTTCCACACATTTGACATTGGGTATTTGAGTTGTCTATTTCAGGAAACAGATACTGAAACTGTAATGAGTTTTTTTTTCAAGACAGATTTAAGTTTAAGTCATTTTTGAGTCTGTAATTTTCATTAAAATTGCCATATTGTAAAAATTCAAAGAGTAATATACAAATACGTTGAAAATAGGATTTTTAGGTCTAGGGTTCGAGAATGGAAAAATGAGGAAAACGGCACGGATTTTCGATGAACTGTTGCCAAGGTTTAGCTCGAGCTTCAAAAGCAAAAACTTCATCGCTTGACTGTCGCCCTGTCTTCGCTCGAGCGACGATATGTCCCTTAACTGTCGCCATGGTTTGGCACAAGCTTCAAAAGCAGAAACTCCATCACTTAACTATCGTCATGCATTCACTTGAGCGACAATCTATCGCTCGACTGTCACTCGAGCGAGAGGTTTATTCGGGAAATTTTTATTGCGCGTTTTAAAGGCTTTTTCCTTAGCCTATTCATTTTTCTAACTTACCTATCTATACCAAAACACTTTTGAACGAAAATTATGAGGTTAAACATAGAGAGAAAAATGCTACAGAATGTTTCCTTCATATTTGATTCTTTTAACCTTCATCTGTGAGAGTTTTGTTGAGAAAAACATCAGTTCAATAATCTAAATACCAAACTGCTTTTCCTCTACATCTGATCAGAGTTCTGAAGATCGAGGAAGCTTGACTGGAGTTCCAGTCTGTGAAGAACGCGGTGCTCTTTGTGGATCCATAGGAGATAAACGATTTCACAAAGCTAGGCGTTGCTGCAGGAGAGCAGAATCCAAGAGAGCTTTGGAAACTGCGGTTGGGAGTGGTACAGGAGCACAGAATCCAGAAAAGTTGGAATTGCAGTCAGGAGATCAGATAGTTCGTGTCGTCGTCTAGGCTGATAGACTGTAAGTTAGATATCGTTTATAGTGAATTGTTGACTGGCAAAGAGCCCGAAGTTTTTTCGAGTTGGGTTGTTCCGTGA